AGTTGAAATATTCACACCTAGCCCAACTGACAAAAGTCCTTTGTCTCACCCTGGTCATTCCACAGATATATAAACCCCTTTTTCCCAGTTCACAGACCTCACACCTCTGAGGATGCTTGCCATAGATGCAGGCGAAACGTCAGGAGAAATGCCTCTAGAACATGGCCATATAGCCCGAAAAAACACACAAGAACTGATTTATTTATTTATTTATTTATTTATTTATTTATTTATTTATTTAGTACATTTCTACCCCGCCCTTCTCCCCATAAGGCAGTGTTTCTCAACCTTCCTAATGCCGTGACGCCTTAATACAGTTCCTTATGTTGTGGTGACCCCCCAAACATAAAATTATTTTCGTTGCTACTTCATAACTGTAATTTTGCTACTGTTATCAATTGTAATGTAAATATCTGGTGTATTTTCATTGACTGAACCAAATTTGGCACAAATAGCCAATAACAAATTTGGCACAAATAGCCCCCCAACCCCACTGGTTTGAATACTAGTGGGGTTGGGGGGGATTGATTTTGTCATTTGGGAGTTGTAGTTGCTGGGATTTATAGTTCACCTACAATCAAAGAGCATTCTGAACTCCACCAACAATGGAATTGAACCAAACTTAGCACTCAGAACTTCAATGACCAACAGAAAAAAACTGTAAGAATTTGGTGGGCATTGACCTTGAGTTTTGGAGTTGTGGTTCACCTACATCCAGAGAGCACTGTGGACTCAAACAATGATGGATCAGGACCAAACTTGGCACAAATACTCAATATGTCCAAATGTGAACACTGGTGGAGTTTGGAGAAAAATAGACCTTGACATTTGGGAGTTGTAATTGCTGGGATTTATAGTTCACCTACAATCAAAGAGTATTCTGAACCCCACCAACAATAGAGTTGGGCCAAACTTCCCACACAGAAACCCCATGACCAAAAGGCTGAGAAAGGCGGTATACAAATACAGAAAATAAAATAAATAAAATATTGCATTTTCAGATGGTCTTTGGCGACCCCTCTGACACCCCCTTGCGACCCCTCCAGGGGTCCCAACCCCCCGGTTGAGAAACACTGCCATAAGGGGACTCAGGATGGCCTCACATAAGCATCAAATGATGCTAACAACATATACACCATAAATTTACAATTAAAACAGTAAAATCATTTTAAAAGCATTATACAAAATCATCAATACATTCATTTAAGAATACATTAACGTGCCAGTAAAGCCAAAACCAAGCCAGGTGAATCCAATGTTGTATAAATTCCAAAATTCCTTTCCATACTTCCTCTATCCTCTAGTCGAACGCCTGGCCCCAAAATCAGGTCTTTACTTGTCTTCTGAAGGACAGGAGGGAGGTGGCCAACCTGATATCCTTAGGGTTGACCACCTCCCTCCTGATGTCCTTAGGGGGCCACTGCCGAGAAGGCCCTGTCTCACATCCCCAGCAACCGTGTTTGCGAGAGTGGTGGGATCAAGAGCAGGGCCTCTCCTGCTCCAACTGGTGATCCTGTAATGAGGACATCCCACGTTGTCTTCAATTAGATAGAATCATAGAATCATAGAATCAAAGAGTTGGAAGAGACCTCATGGGCCATCCAGTCCAACCCCTTGCCAAGAAGCAGGAATATTGCATTCAAATCACCCCTGACAGATGGCCATCCAGCCTCTGTTTAAAAGCTTCCAAAGAAGGAGCCTCCACCACACTCCGGGGCAGAGAGTTCCACTGCTGAATGGCTCTCACAGTCAGGAAGTTCTTCCTTGTGTTCAGATGGAATCTCCTCTCTTGTAGTTTGAAGCCATTGTTCCATTGCGTCCTAGTCTCCAGGGAAGCAGAAAACAAGTTGCTCCCTCCTCCCTGTGGCTTCCTCTCACATATTTATACATGGCTATCATATCTCCTCTCAGCCTTCTCTTCTTCAGGCTAAACATGCCCAGCTCCTTAAGCCGCTCCTCATAGGGCTTGTTCTCCAGACCCTTGATCATTTGAGACGCCCTCCTCTGGACACATTCCAGCTTGTCAATATCTCTCTTGAATTGTGGTGCCCAGAATTGGACACAATATTCCAGGTAACGTGGTCTAACCAAAGCAGAATAGAGCATGGGGAGCATGACTTCCCTTGATCTAGACACTATGCTCCTATTGATGCAGGCCAAAATCCCATTGGCTTTTTTTGCCGCCACATCACAATGATGATCTTAAGCTATGTGATGGTTCATAGCAGGAGATACGTTCGGACAGGTAATCTGGTCCAGAACCGTTTAGGGTTTTAAAGGTTAAAACCAGCACTTTGAATTTTTCTCGGAAGCTGATGGGCAGCCAGTGGAGCTGGCGCAACAAAGGAGTAGTACGCTCCCTGTACGCTGCTCCAGTTAACAACCTGGCTGGTGACCGTTGGACTAATTGGAGCTTCCAAGAAGTTTTCAAAGGCAGCCCCACGTAGAGAGCGTTGCAGTAGTCTATTCTGGATGTAACCAGAGCGTGTACTACCATGGCCAAGTCAGACCTCTCAAGGAACAGGCGCAGCTGGCGCACAAGTTTTAATTATGCAAAAGCTCTCCCAGCCACCGCCAAGACCTGGGTTTCCAGGCTCAGTGATGAGTCCAGGATCACTCCCAAACTGTGAACCTGTGTCTTCAGGGGGAGTGTAACCCCGTCCGACACAGGCTGTAACCCTATCCCCTGTTCGGTCTTTTGACTGACCAGGAGGACCTCTGTCTTGTCTGGATTGAGTTTCAATCTGTACACTGTCAAATTAATGTAGTTCACATCACTTTATCATGGCTATGTGCTATGGAATCTCTGGAGTTGTATTTTGGTGAGGCCCTCGCACTCTTTGGCAGAGAAGGCTGAAGACATGGAAAAACTACCATTCCCTGGATCCCAGAGCATTGAGACATGAGAGTTAAAGTGGTGTCAAACTCTATTGATCCTATGATGTAGATGCACACTTAGTCCAGGGCATTCAAAGCACTGCACCTCTGCTGAATGTATGCATGCATATTAAGAACAGCTGCATACTGATCTTGCCAGAAGAATCACAGCTGATTTTTTTAATGTTTCAATTTCTGCTGCAAGGTACGTTTTGAAGTCTGGAAAGACAGCTTGTCAGTTACTCTTCTCTGCTGAGCATTTTCAGTTGCCGAGTTGCCCCTGGAAACTGGAATGGGCTTCGCTCCCCACTGGCCTTCCCTTTGGGGGTGGTATTTTTAGCTTTTTGTTGTGTCGGATCTTTTATCCATCTACCCCAGTGAAACCAGTTCTGACTGGCAGCTGGGACTTTGCAGAGTTTCAGCAAGGGGTTGTTTCGTCCTCCCACCAGGATTTGCTGCAAATTGAAACCATCCAGTCCAATCCTGTCTTCCTGGCAGGAAGACACAATGCAAGCCCTCCTTTGGCTATATTGGCCACCTTTCTCTGGACACCATCCTTCTTGTCCATCTACTTCTTGAATTGCTTTGCCCAAAACTGGACATGGAGTTATTATTCCAGGGCACCAAAGCAGGAGAGAGCGGGACCATACTTTGCCCCATTCTCAACACTAGACTCTCATTGATGCTGCCCAGAAGTGCATTGGCCTTTTCAGCTGCTGCATCACACTGTTGGCTCATGTTCAGCTTGGGATCTCCAAAGACTCCTAGATCCCTTTCACAGTGGACTGTATTGAAGCCAATAGGAAAGGAGATTCCACTTGTACATTAGGAAGAACTTCCTAACTGTAAGAGGAGCTGTTCAGCAATGGAACTCTCTGCCTCAGAGTCCTTGGAGACTTCTAAACCAAGGCTGGATAGCCATCTGTCAGGGGTGTTTTTAACTTGTTTTTCCTGCATGGCAGTGTGTTGGACTGGATGGCCCATGTGGTCTCTTCCAACTCTATTATTCTACTAGCTGTCCCCTGCCATGTGTTCTGTGGCCCTCAAAAAACACAAGAATTCCAGGCATGAAACAATTGACAGAAGGGGCATTGATAAATGGACCAGAAGGTAGATGGATAGAACATAGATAGATAGATAGATAGATAGATAGATAGATAGATAGATAGATAGATAGTCAGAAAGACAGAAAGACAGACATCTTTAAGACCAAAGGGGGTTGGACTGGATGGCCTTTGGGGCTCCCTTCCAACTGGTTGGCCATCAGGTAGACTTTGAGGGTGTCTTCCTTTACCACCCAATGAGGTTGGACGAGATAGCCTTTGGGACTCCTTTCCAACTGCCTGGTCATCTGTCGGGAGGGATTTGATGGTGTCTCCCTTTACTGCAAAAAGTGGTTGGGCTGGATGGCTTATGGGGCCCCTTTAACTACCATGGCTCAATGCTGTGGAATAATCCCACGGTGTAGACAAGGTAGGGGCAAACTTGAGCCCTCCAGGGGTTTTGGACTCCAACTCCCACAATTCCTAACAGCCTTCCTAACAGCCTTTTGGGGTTTTAGTTGTTTTTGTCACTGGGTTTTTGGTTTTGTTTTTTTTTTTTTTGGTGTTTTCCTGAGTGATGGTCACTTGTTGGCCTGAGAGGTGTCTTGTGTCCAAATTTGGTGTCAATTCGTCCAGTGGTTTTTGAGTTCTGTGAATACCACAAACGAACATGACATTTTTATTTATATAGAAGATGAAGAGGAGCCATTGGGCAGCACTGTAACCATTGTCTCTATTTTGCAGACTAGAAAACTGTGCCAATGCTAAACTGTTAAAGGGATCCAATTTAGTTTCCAAAACCAGTGCCATTAAGAGTGGTGTAGCTTTACAACTGGGCTGCTGGACCTACTGATGGGTGCAAACAGTGTGGCTTTGAATGCTCACAGATGCTCATGGAGTAGCATGTAGAAATGCCACCCGTTTTGTCATGCTCTGTCGCTTGATGCAGCAAGTGTTTTCTGTTTTTCCTTCCACAGCAGAGGCGCAAGAGGAGAGCCAAATGTCCCTGATGTTCTCACAGAGTTTTCCATGTCTTTTTTCCCCCTCCCTTCTCTTTCTCATGCGCTCTCCGGCCGTCAGACGGGAAGGAGTATGACATTTACGTCTCCTACGCCAGGAACGCCGAGGAGGAAGAGTTTGTGCTCCTGACGCTGCGCGGGGTCCTGGAGAACGAGTTCGGGTACAAGCTGTGCATCTTTGACAGAGACAGCCTCCCCGGGGGAAGTGAGTATCCCAGGCTGGCACACAAAGAACGGCGCATGCCTTTTGCTATCTCTCTCTGTTCTGTCACACGCTGGGCCTGTAAATAGTTGTCTTTAAAACGGGACGTGCAACCTTTGCCCAACAGGAAGCCAGGGGTCCCAAAGAGAAGTTCTCAGAGGTTTCCACCACAAACAGTCTTTAAATGGCTTGAGAAGTACAACAAAGTCTTTTATTAATGAACAATCAAACAGAAACTTCTCTTGTCTTCAGTAAAGTTAAGTAAATGATTCCAAGCTTTTAGGTAACTGGTGAATTCCTAATCTTGCCCACGAAGGACAGGCAATTGTCTTCAATAACTCCTTCTTTAAAGGAAAATTCCCTTTTTAACTTCTCCCAGGCTGACTGTAATCTAACCCTTACTGATGTGGGCTCCGCCACCGGGTCGAACTGCGTCTCGAACGCCGAGTGGACCTACCAGTAAAGGCTTAGATGTTCTCCAGCTGGAGTTCTTTGGTCTTTAAGGCTGTTTTCCTGGAAATTCTCAAAGCTGTGGGGAGGCTTCCCTGGAAATTCTTTCCCTGGAAATTCTTAAAGGTTGAAGCTTTTGTACAGGGGAAGTTTACACACGTCCTGTACATTGGCTAACCTTGCTGAGACTAACTAAAAAATGGCTCCCTGAGCAAGGGGCGGGACCAAAACTTAATGATGATGGGCAGGTGGCTTGCCCTATAACTGCAACCAAAAGAAGTCACCTATCTGCAGAGTCCCTGAAACCTAGGACTGCAGACAAACATTTAATGCAAAGCAAACAAAATTGGAGCTCCTGGTACAGCTGTACCAGAACACTCTCTCTCTTGTTCTCTCTTCCTTTCTCTTTCCCCCTTTCATCTCGTTAACACAAATACACACACTTTCCCAGCAACAAGAGGAAGGTGGTGTGGAAATTCATACACACTGAAGAAGAAAAGCCATAAGTAAGTATAGAGCCACCGGTGGCGCAGTGGGTAAAACCACTGAGCTGCAAAGCTTGTTAACCGCAAGGTCGCAGGTTCGAATTCAGGGAGCGGTGTGAGCTTCCGCTGTCAGCCCCAGCTTCTGCCAACCTAGCCGTTCGAAAGCATGCAGATGTGAGTAGATTAATAGGTACTGCTCTGGCAGGAAGGTAACGGTGCTCCATGCAGTCATGCCAGTGGCCACATGACCTTGGAGGTGTCTATGGACAATGCCGGCTCTTCAGCTTAGAAATGGAGATGAGCACCAACACTCAGAGTCGGACACAACTGGACTTCATGTCAGGAGAAAACCTTTACCTTTACCTTAAGTATGCACACAGGTGTAAAAGATTGTTAACAGTTTACATTGCATTTATATGCAACATAAATATTTACTCTGCATGCAAATATAACATATAATATACAGTCCATCCCTGAGTTACCTTGGAGGTGTCTATGGACAACGCTGGCTCTTCGGCTTAGAAATGGAGATGAGCACCACACCCCAGAGTCAGACATGACTGGACTTAATGCCAAGGGACTACCTTTACCTTTACCTTTACCCTGAGTTGCCAACATCCGACTTACAACTGACTCATATTTAAGAACAGGGCTGTGGCAACAGAAAGTGGGCAAAATCTCCCCTTCGGAAAGGAAATACACTCCTGGAAGAGTTATTATCAAGGGACAAAAGGCTCTCAAATAGACTTGTGCAATCCAAGTAAACCTTGACTCGTTCAGTTTCCTGGCTTTGGGTAGGGTCCCCGATCCGTCCTTTGGGAGCATACCAAAATCAGGAGGGCAGATATCAGAAAAAAGCTGCACTCGCAGAGCTCAGGCGGTATTGCATTTCAGTGTCAATGTTGAATTTGTGGAGAGGTGGCTGCCAAGGGAGAAGAAATGGTCAACATTTTCTGATACTACCCTATTAAGCTGTATTTCTGTCATTGGAGAGGGATTGGCTGGTAACTGCTGGAAGAGAAGTTTGGTTTTCTCAATGTTTAATGACAGGCTGAGCTTCTCATATGCTTCTGCGAAGGTGTTTAGCGAGGCTTGCAGATCTTCTTCTGAATGCACACAGACGAAGTTGTCATCATCATATTGGAGTTCTGTAACATATGTTGTTGTAACCTTGATTTTGACTTTCAGTCTGCTGAGATTAAATAGCTTGCCAGTATTTTATTACTTACTTAATTACTTAGGTGATCCCTCGTAGTCCGAGGATGATGGTCCTCCAAGTTCGGTATCCTGGGGGTGGGTTCGTAGGTGGCTGTGGAGCCCTATTCTTGACCCGCATCTTCTCCCGCAGTGAGGGCATTGGTTTCCAGGTGGAAGGCAGTCCCAGTCAGGGTTGGCTTGACATGCCTTCCTCTTGGCACGCTTCTCCCTTTCACCCTCCATTCGTGCCTCTTCAAATTCTGCAGCACTGCTGGTCACAGCTGACCTCCAACTAGAGCACTCAAGGGCACATACACACCTGTCTTGTTCATAACTTAGGGACAGCTTGTAATTATATAAATGTGTGTGTATATTTTATTATACACACACACACACATATACATATAATATGAAATATAAATAACATATAAATGATAAGAATATTATATATAAACATACATTTTATATTTGTTTTGTAGAATATTTATATTTATAATTGAATAATTTATACATTCTTTGTTTATATATTTTATAGATAGATAGATAGATAGATAGATAGATAGATAGATAGATAGATAGAGATAGATTGTTTACATTACCCTGTGGAAGTATTCACACATGGACAGCCTCGGACATTTATGGTTGTTGTATTGTCGAAGGCTTTCATGGCCGGAATCACTGGGTTGTTGTAGGTTTTTTCGGGCTATATGGCCATGGTCTAGAGGCATTCTCTCCTGACGTTTTGCCTGCATCTTTGGCAAGCATCCTCAGAGGTAGTGAGGTCTGTTGGAACTAGGAAAAAGGGTTTATATAACCGTGGAATGACCAGGGTGGGACAAAGGACTCTTGTCTGCTGGAGCTAGGTGTGAATGTTTCAACTGACCACCTTGATTAGCATTTGATGGCAGTGCCTGTAGCAATCTTTTGTTGAGAGGTGATTAGATGTCCTTGCTTGTTTCCTCTCTGTTGTTGTGCTGTTGTAATTTTAGAATTTTTTAATACTGGTAGTTCATTTTCATGGTTTCCTCCTTTCTGTTGAAATTGTCCACATGCTTATGGACCTCTCACCTCTCAACAAAAGATTGCTCCAGGCACTGTCAGGCCATTATATGCTAATCAAGGTGGTCAGTTGAAACATTCACACCTAGCTCCAGCAGACAAGAGTCCTTTGTCCCACCCTGGTCATACCACAGATATATAAACCCTTTTTCCTAGTTCCAAGAGACCTCACTACCTCTGAGGATTAGCATATAATTAGCATATAAAGTTTGCTCCAGGCACTATCAAGCCATTATAGGCTAATCAAGGCGGTCAGTTGAAACATTCACACCTAGCTCCAGCAGACAAGAGTCCTTTGTCCCACCCTGGTCATTCCACAGATATATAAACCGTTTTTCCTACTTCCGACAGACCTCACAACCTCTGAGGATGCTTGCCATAGATGCAGGCGAAACGTCAGGAGAGAATGCCTCTAGACCATGGCCATATAGCCCAAAAAAACCTACAACAACCCATTTATGGTTGTTGTTACTATTCCTCAAGGAGAAAATTGCACCCGCAACAGGCAAAAAAGCGATGGGGAAATTTGCAGACGGAGCAAAAGGAAGGTGCTTGACAACTTAGATTACAGAGTATTTACCAGTATTACCCTGCAGAAGCATCCATGCATTGCGTTCTCTTCGGGAGCAGTTGCTAAACGTTCCCTGGCAATTTCTGTGCTGTTCAGGATAATCCCAGTTTAAGTGCCATTAAACCTTGGGACTCTGCAGAGTCAATGGGGGGAATTAGCCTCAACAGATGTGCTTGTTTCTCATTTCGTAAAGAGCCCTGCGTGATTCTCCACTCCTTCTGTTTCTGCTGATCTTGGTGATTTTGCAAATTACGGGAAGAAGTTTGGGGAGGGGGGCCTCAAGGGGATGATGGACAGTCTTCAGAATAGCCCTGTAGGGTCGATACTTGATAGCTGTGTTTACATTCTGGATGACAGAAAAGGAAGGAGGACACAGAAGCTGCTTGTTTTTGTTTTGCTATAATATTCCAGTGGTGCATCTACACAGTCATAGAATCAAAGAGTTGGAAGAGACCTCCTGGGCCATCCAGTCCAACCCCATTCTGCCAAGAAGCAGGAATGTTGCATTCAAATCACCCCTGACAGATGGCCATCTAGCCTCTGTTTAAAAGCTTCCAAAGAAGGAGCCTCCACCACACTCCGGGGCAGAGAGTTCCACTGCTGAACGGCTCTCACAGTCAGGAAGTTCTTCCTCATGTTCAGATGGAATCTCCTTTCCTGTAGTTTGAAGCCATTGCTCCATTGCATCCTAGTCTCCAAGGAAGCAGTAAACAAGCTTGCTCCCTCCTCCCTGTGGCTTCCTCTCACATATTTATACATGGCTATCATATCTCCTCTCAGCCTTCTCTTCTTCAGGCTAAACATGCCCAGCTCCTTAAGCCGCTCCTCATAGGGCTTGTTCTCCAGACCCTTGATCATTTTAGTCGCCCTCCTCTGGACACATTCCAGCTTGTCAATATCTCTCTTGAATTGTGGTGCCCAGAATTGGACACAATATTCCAGGTGTGGTCTAACCAAAGTGGAATAGAGGGGTGTCAGTATACCCCTAGATCTAGTTGCATGAATTCAGTTTCAACACTCCTTTTGACTTCCATGGCTCAATGCTATGGAATCCTGGTATTTGTAATTTGTTGAGGTGCCAGCGCTTTCTGGCAAAGAAGGCTAAAGGTTTTTTCAATACTGCAACTCCCAGGATTTCACAGCATTGAACCATAGCAGTTAAAGCAGTATCAAAGTGCATTCATTCTACAGTGCGGAGGCACCCAAGGAAGGTAGCAGAAGATTCACATGGCTGTTTTAAG